CTCTTTAATTGGCACACATGAGTGCCGCTCACAACACAAAAACGATTCCGATCTTGAGATTGTTCCACAACAAACAGGCATCGTCATAGTCTCCAAGAGTAGACCTCACAATCGAATCCAAGGTATTCACAACCAGGACACCAACATCAAGTGCACGGCAACCCAATCCTCAAGCTTCTCAGCATCACTCGGCTTTGCAACCGTGCCATCAATAAAGCCAAATTTTCTCTTCGCTTTCAAAGCCATCCTCACGACCTAGCCTATTCATCGTAGTTTTCACCCCGAAGTTGAATTGGAGTGATGATGTTACCCGGCCCGTCGCTGGAGACTAGGTGATAGGTCAAGTCGACCATCTGCTTGTTTCCTCCATCGCCGCCAGTCATCCCTCAATCTCACACACAAAAGAAAGAAATTAAAAATAATGTAGGTTTGTGAACTCTCACAACCAATCTCACAATGAACGTTGATTATGAAAAACAACGTGTAAAAAAAATTTGGATCTCAATTAGGCTCTGATACCATGCTAAAATATACTCTATAATTATGTTCTGTAATTCTCATTCAACCTTCATGGCCATGTACAAAATATATAGACTAAGATACTTTGAGGGCAAGACCAAATATTCCTAAGATAATTCACAAAATATTCTATGCTATCTTTTCACAATATTCACAATGTTATCATATCTCTCAAATATATCCCAATAGTATATTTGTATGACATATGGAATTGAATTAGTAAAAGCTAGTAACCTTCTAATTTTGAATATACACATTGTAATGCATCTAATAGAATTACGTATGATTATATATTATCTAATAAACTAATGTAAAATTATAGTCAAAGTTTATAAATTTTGAACATAAAGAAATGTTACAACATTATTGAAATCTAGCAAATTTTTTGACTTTTTTAAAGGTAGTTAGGTAAAATAAAAAAAAATGTGCTAAAAAATATTACAAATTCTAATAAATGGTTGGTTACACCATGTGGCCAACTTACTTCGTTAGTGTTATAAGGGTTGTTCGGTAAGTGGTATATAGGTTACTTTGTCAGTGTTATAACTGTTATTTAGTTAGTTTTATAGGGGGTTATTCGGTTAGTATTGCAGGGGTTCTCGGTCAGTGTTATATAGGGATTACTTTGTTCTTTTACAAGCGTCATATGGTATGGTCAATTGGGTTTTTTAGGCGTGATAAAATACAAAATAAACCAAATAAAAAATTATTATTTTTGTTAATTTCTACTGATATTAAAGCTTGAAGTTAATTTGTCTCTGGCGTAGCTTAGATTATCTTGAGTTGCTTGGACTCCAGAATTGTAATATGTTCAAGTTCAACTAATATTAATATTGTACGTGAAAGAAACTTCGCAGCAAATATATAAATTTTTCTATGGTGTCTTCCCTTTCAAATTAATGGACCCCTTTGAATCTCATTAATAAATTTAGTTTTTTTTTATAATTAAAACTTAGCTTAATCAAAGTTAAACTCCGATTCAAATACTTTTACCACAAAATTAACGTGGGCATTGATGACTCAATCATTACATAAATTAAATAGCGACTTTACCTTAAATTAACAACTAACACAGCAGGATATAGTTTACTCATAAAACGTGGTATCACGAACAAGATAGGAAAAAGGCCGGCATAGATCATAGGAATACGATTCTAGATAGGGATGGCAACGGGTCGAACTCGGAGCGGATTATTCTAAATCCGACTCCGATTCTACAGGAAGTCGGAGGCTAAATCTGACTCCGACATCCAACTCTGAGACTCTGTCTCCAATCCGACTTTAATATCCGTCCTCCAACTCCGATCTGACCCGATTTCCGAGTTTTTTTCGGTTTTTCAACATACTTTGAGAAATTGGGCTATTTGGGCCTTTGCAACCCACACCCACTGCCACCACAACCCACTTCCAAATCCACGATCCGTCGGGGTCGGATAATCTGTCAGAGTCGGACCTTTGTTGGAGTCGGATTTTTTTCTCGGATTTTTTGTAGGATCCGACTCCGTCCCTCCTCCGATTCGGAGTCAGATTGTTTTAACGGACTCGGACTCGGATTACTTTTTTCTCAGACTCGGAGTGAATTTTTTTCTTCGAATCAAGGCGGAATAGGGTACTCCATATATTTTTTTTCCAATTCGTTCAATGCAGAGTTGATATAAGTCAGCCCGCCCAACCCACCCTGAACTCGGGCAGATTTTGGGCAATTTTTTCGGCCCGAAATTGGGTCAGGCCCGGCCAAATTTAAATTTTTTTTTGACGGTCTTGGTAATTCATTTTTATGTAATTTTAGTTGATTTTTTTACCCGCTCTGAAATTGTCCGAAAAGCCCACACGGTCCAGCCATTTTGGACGGATTTGGGCATATAATTTTCGACCCATAATTTGGCCCGCCCTGAGAAATGGGCTGGTTTTTTTGCCTTGGCTCGAACCCGACCGAGCCCGCACTTTAATCAAGTCTAGTTCAATGATACATCAAATTTAGCACATTTGTCAATTTATACTTTTAACCTATTAGCAATAATTAAGACATTTATTGTTGAATTAACGCGTTGATACACGTGATATAAGAAAGTTTTAAACGTGTCTATAAATTTAAAACTAAAGAAGTATATGTTTGTTCAAATCGCTCATGTTTCTATTGAAAGTCATTTTCAAAGAATGGTGTCCAGTTTAAGCAGTACAATGTGGGCTTGGGTCAGTTGACAATATGACATATCACTTATTAGTGACAATTGCATATCATTTCGGTTACTAGTCATATATAGTATGAATACCCAATTAGAGCCCACATTGTACTTATGAAAATTCAATTATATCAAATACTAGCTTAGGACCCGTGCCATGTACGGTTATTACTAAAACTTTATTTATTGTTATCTTAATTATAAATAATAAAAAAAAAATATAACAATATATATCAAGCTTTATTTATGTAAAATATGCATAAAAATTTGAGTACAAAATGGACAAATATATTATACACCTTATACAACAATAAAAGGTTTATAATAAATTTTGTCGATTTGTACTCAATTTTGTATGTCAAACCATGATAGAAAAAATACATTTCCTTGAATTTAATTAATAAAGTGCTAAATTAAATTATCTTGATTGTTACATCAGTTAATTTTAAAATTTTGAATGATTTAATATTGTTTATAAGTAAAAAGTACAAATTATATGGTCAAATAAACATAAAAAAAAAAAAAAAAAAAAAAAAAAAAAAAAAAAAAGATATTACTTATATATTTGCATTGTAAAGTTTCATATGCATCTTTTACAACGTTTTTTTTTAGTGTATGTATTTCACTATGTAATCCAACATGTAATATACTTTGTTAAAAATGATATTTATTATTTAATCATCATATTTGATTTAATCTTTCTATAAGGTGATGGTAGTAAATTTTGCTGACAAATTAAAATTGTCATTTTTATGTATAGAATTTATTTGTATTTGAAGATTTAATTTAAAAAATTATATTAGCAATATATGGAATAATATAATCTTTGGTGATAACTTTTACATATTTTCTATAGTACAAATGATATGAATCATTATTACTTATTATTATTATTACATGATAAAACTATTGTGCTCAAATAGGAAGGTTTATATTATAATAATATGTTAAATATTATTCTAAGAAGATTTGACTAAATAAAAAATGGTATTGGAGAAAAAAAAACAACACCAGAAAGTGACACGTGTCATTTCTAGTGTCTGTTTTAGTATTATGTAATTATGTAATGTAATGTAATGTAAATGTAATTGATATATAATAAATAATATGTACTCCGTAGGATATACAAAGTAAAAGATATAAAATAATATCGTATGCAGTAAAAGAAATGGAAAATATGTGAATAAATTTTTTGGAAGTAAATCACAATTATATGATTTATTGAATATTTTTTTAAGGATGTGAATCACAATTATTTAAAGAAGTGAATATTTTTTATAAGAAAGCGAATAAAAAAAATGTTTTGGAGGGATATAAACAGCACCAAGATAAGAAGTGACACGTGTCATTCTTGGTGTCTGTTATCACTGAATGAATGAATTGCATTTATAATTAATTATTCACTATTTAGTGATTTCTCCTAACTTAACATGATATAAATCAAAATAAATAAATAAAAACTCATGTGGGAGCTGTGGGATAAATGTTTCTTCAACATTATCATTATTCACGATATAAATTTTATTAGAATGAACAAAGGGGTAATTAGCAATTTCAATTCCTCTGTGAATTCATGCTCAACTTAGGAGAACAATTATGTGAGAACAGAGGAAGTACTTATTTGCATGATACTTCTTGATCTTTTAAAAAATTGTCGATACATATCGGAGTTACTATACTTATTGTGGTAAGTGCGTAAGTCAGCGGATGTGGTCGTTAAGGACCACCATAATTCAAGAACATATATATATAATTTTCTATGGAAGCTGACTTGAAATTTTTTTCTTGGGTGCATATTCTTCTGGAATATTATTAAATTGTAGCCGAGTAATAGTGGGGATTTAGTTATTTAGTTATTAGTGGGGATTTAGTTATTTAGTTGGGCGTTGGAGGTATCAATTAAAAAAAGAAAAGTAAATTTCTTATATTAAAAATTTAAGACTTTAATTTTGTTGGTTACTCAAGTCATCCGAGACTGAGAGTTGATTAGTCCACAATTCCCATAACTAAAGTAGAGAGAATACCAAATTAGAGAAAGCATCCTTTCTCCTTTCTTTTACTAGGTATTATTGTAAAAATTTTTGCAAAACTTAAAGATTTAATTTAACAAGACGATTGATATTGACAAATTATAGAGAGTAAGGGATGCTCAGGTGGTTAGAGTTTTCCTTTCGGTTTCAAGTATTGATTTTCATTATCTGCTCTTATGACTCTCTAAACACCAAAAAAAAAAAAGTTACAATAAAAATTAGAAAGATGAAACATTGCAACAAATATGAAACTTTTATATAATAATACTTTTTTAAAAATAAAAGTTAAGGAGTACAATAAGAATAGAGCAAGGAAAGTATTCATAAAATTGTTTGTTGACAAAATCCAAATAGCAAAGATCTTCATCTAAAGTACATCACCATTCAACCTACATAATCATTATTAGGACAATATGAAGCTACATTACTACTTGTCACACTAATCACAATATCTAAAGTGACACAAACACCTTCATTATTTGCACCAAAAAGAAAAAACAAACACCTTCATTGTTATGATTGTTGATTCATAAGTCTTTATCTCCAATCAATGTCTTCTTATAAATTCAATTATAGCATCATAAAGTTTACCAGTTTGGGCCTTAGTCTCAGGATCATGGTCCACTGCCATTTTATTGAGGTAAAAGCTATGAGTCACATTTTCACTCATATAAAGCTCCACAGTTTTATTAGCCTTCTTTAAGGCTTCGTAGAATTCCATTTGTGTGTCAATGAACAAATCTTTTTCAGCAACACAATACATGATTGGTGGCAATTGGAGCCCATCTAAAGGCGGTGCGGCGGGGCCCATCGGGCATGTAATTGGATGATCCTTGTTGCTTCCAATTGGTAAGGCTAGGTTCAAAAACTTATCAACCATGTCTAGGGTCAGAAATGGGGTTTGGGGCATTTCTGACTCGGACCGGCTTCTCGTGGCTCGAACCACACCCGGGTGGATCGGAATCGACCCGGCTAATTTTAATGGGCTCAAATTAGTTTTTCCACCCTGGGCCCCCACTTCATGAACTAGGTTACCACCTGAGCTATCCCCGATTAAAAAAACCCGTCCAAAATCAGCCCGGCCCGTGATCCACTCATCATGGGCCTTGGATTGGGCCAATGAGGTAAGCCACAATAGGGCCGAGAACCCCTCATTAATTGCAGACGGGAGCCGGTTCTCGGGAGCATGCTGAAGGTAGACCGAGACGACAATGGCCCGGCCCAACTTGGCCAACTTTGAGTAAAACACATAATACATAAACCAATCGGGCTCACTTATGCAAAACCCACCACCCGGTAAGTGGAGGATCACGGGTAACTTCTCATTCGGGTCATCCTCGGGTCGGGTCTCGGGCATGTAAACCCGAACCCGAGGACCCGATTTGGGGTCCACATCACGGACTGCAACCCCGTCGATGAATTCTTCATGGGCCGGAGCCGAGTCAACCATGAACTTTGCCTCGGGTGGTCCGACCCATGAACGGTCCACGGAACCGTCATCGTAAATCCTAAGCCAACCGGAGACTTCATCAACTAGATTTCTCTCTTGGACCGGCATGGCTATAAATGGTGGGAGTTTAAGTAAGAGAGAGTTTGTTATTAGATGAGTTTGGTGTGTACTGGTATAGTGATGAAATCTAAGAGCTATTTATAATAGATTGATAACATGATGTGGAAAATAAGAAAAAAAAAAACAAAAAAGTAATAGTGCATGCATGCATTACTGCATTAGTTTGGAATTTTCATGGACATTTGGTAGTATTTGCATGTAAAATAATAGGGTGGTGTAGTAACATACTTTACTACCGAGTGTCTCCTTTGACGCTACCTAATATTCCATTTTTGGAAGACTATTCCCTTCGGGTCTTATTGCATTGTTGATGTTATAACAAAAAACTATATTAAATTTCATTAAAAAAAATTAAAATAAAATAAAAAATTTAATAAGTTAGACTGAGGAGTGAGGACCTAAAATGAGAGAAATTAAATTAAAAAAAAAAAAAACTCCGTAAGATATGAAATATACTTCCTCTTTAACTAATTAATTACGAGTACAATATTTATTGCACAAATTCTTATATGTTGTTTGACGTATGGTGTGGTCACTTCACATTTAAAATAATAATCGGGTAATAGGGGTTACAGTGATGAACAAATGGGATTACATTGGCGGATGTGGGGTTACTCTATTGGTGAATTTATTTTTTTATTTGTTGAAAAATTAAAACAAAAAATAAGAGTTACTTGAATGAACAAATAAAATTATTTTTTTAATTAATTAATATTACTCGTATAATGAGTTTGGATTATTTATATGAAATGGTAGAGCTAAGATTTTCAAAGAGGGGACGTTGCATAAATTATTAATCTAAATTACAATTTTATCTACAAGTCTTCACTATTGAACCCATGACCGTGATATAATTCTTTATAGATTTTTAGGTAGAGAGGATGGAAAACGAGTAAACGACCTATTAAAAAAAAAAATGATGCGCAGGGAAAACAGATGAAGTCGCTTAGAACGTTACTACGGGGTACTCTAGAATTTTTGAAGATTTGTCAACTTGACTTGTCTGGCCACAAAGTGAGTTAGGTGTGTGAGTGTGGTACATCACATCAATAAAATGCACTCTTTTCCACAGCAATTTCCATTGAAATTACATAAATAAGGGAGCTACTCATTTACTCTTCCTTATTGACTGTATAAATGTTCATTCACCCTTATCTATTCTTGACCGACTTAAACTAAGAAGGTTTGTATTTTATAATCATAAACTTGTGGGATAATTATTTTAGGAGTCTTTTTGCGGTGAGGATTCTCTTATTGGCTTATTGTTTTTCCACTAATTAAAGTGTTTGGCCACTCACCTAGCCTAATTTGATATATGAGAGGTTCTAACTCAGTAAAATATTCTAATTAACTAAAAAAAAATGAGAGCATATTTTATGCCATGTGCAACCATTGCTTTTTTGTGAAAAATGTTATAAAAAGTAAATTATGTAGACGAGATTTTAATTCATACGCATCAAACGTCATTTTAACCTAAATAGTAAATTAAAGTCTACTCAATTAATTATTTTAAACCTCTAAGCAAATTCAAACATCATTCTTACTTCACATTATCTTTGCTGATCTAACGTCAAAATTATAGCATTGGAAAAGATAACACTGTAGGGAGTCCACAGCCACACGATAATAAGAGTCAATTAGTCACTAATTCACTATCTATATATGTTTCTCTATGCCTATATTATACTCCCTCTATTCCATTAATATGTAAGAGATAATATGTTCATATGAGATCTTGTTGGATTCGTCTCGTTCTATATTTTATTAATATCAAGGTTTTATAATTATAACGCGTATGAAGAGGATATATATATCTAAGACCACATTCCTTATGTGAGAACCCTATTATATGTGAGGACTCATTATAATCATTGGATCAATTACATCCAACGGCAACAATTAATCCCGATCAAACAAAACTCCTGCGTTTTTTCTCTCTCCTCCTTCCTCTTTCACGCGTTATTTTCTCTCTCCTCATTCAATTTCTCTATTTTCTACTCTCTTTCTCTCTGCTATTCTCTCTGATTTTTCATCACTACTTCTTCAATCTTCATCAATTCTTCGTCAAGGTGAGTTTGTTGTTTATATTTTCGTATTTTTCAATTTATTTTAGGTCACATTCAATTACATTCATCGTTGATTTTGGTTTTGATTTTCGTTTGATTTTCACTGATTTCAGCTCACATTGTTTATTAATTTGTGTCGATTATGTTTTACTTTGTTTTTTAGGTTGATTTTAGTTTTATTTTCTTTTTTTTTTTTTAGTAGTAATCAAGTTGAATTTAGTTTTATTTGCCTTATTTTCGTTATTTTTCAATTTTTTCGTTTTTTCTTAAAACCTAGAAATCACTGATAATTTGTACTATTATGTTGATTTTAGCTTGATTTTGGGTATTTTAATTATTAAGTGTATTTTAATTTGATTTTTCGGTTTATTTTAGTTCTCAATTATGTTTTATTTTCTGGTTTTATCTTACTTTCTGTTTGATTTTAGCTTTATATGAGTAATTATTAGTTGATTTTAGTTTTAATTTTGCTTCATTTGAGTAATTATCTTACATTTTCTTTGTGTTTTTTTGGAAACCTAGAAGTAATTGCTATGGATTCTGCAAATGAAAATGTTGCTTAATCATCCCTAATTATTCTTCAAGAAAATACAATGTATGTGTTTCTACTCATTTTATTTTTATTTTTTCATTTAATTTATTTGCTCATTTTATGTTTGTTGCTCAATAAAATACTTTGTGTTTAGTTTTACTTTTTATATTTTGTTGCTTATTTTATTTTTTGCTGAATTTCGCATACTTTTTGCTATTGGAAGTATGATATTCAGTTTTGTTGGCTGTGATAGCTTGGCTGGACAGTAAGAATGAAATGAGTGTTTGGTTTTACTCAATGCTGTTATGAGGTTGGCATTTGTTAATATTGGGTTCCCATTAGTACATGATTCCGAGACCAAGCAATTAGATGAGGCTTATGAATTGCGGTTGATACTAATTATTCCGACACCAGGAAGACGAGAATGTGAATTAGCTATGTATGTAAGATATTAAGTTCGCTGCCAAATTTCTGTTCCTGCCCGTGTGATTGCTACTTTGCTAAGATTAAAAGGGATGTATAAGTCTAGTGTAGAGATATTGCTATGTTGGATAGCTATGCGACATTGTCACACAATGAATATTATATTGCTTATTTGGAGGAAAAAAAAAAACACATATTTAGAGATAGAGTTCTTTTGACATGGTAATTGCATAAAGATTTCCTAGCAAAATTGCATACAAATCCATTACCATTCCCACTATATAGGACCGTTTACCAAACATGATTTAAGTTATTTTCTTAAGTAATAGAAATAGGTTGTGGTGTAAGGTTGGAGGGTGGGAGGAGGGGGATTTAAGTTCACATCTTATTATCGTACTTTTGTTTATTTACCTCATTGGATATCCATGGGATCACTTCTCACGATCAACAAATAGATGACTGGATGTGAATTTTTGCCTAGGATTGGGTTGGGGCTATGAGGGTGGGATGGATGCTCAGTAGAGACAGGATTCTCATCAAGTAATTGATTGAAGCAGCCTGGTTCATTTCCATTTACAAGGGTTCACACTTGCTGTAGCAGCTCTGTGGAGCAGTGGTTGATAAGAAGCTTAAGGGGAAAAGCAAAATTTATTGTAAATTGCTAACCATCTAACATTACTTTTTGATGTTCATAATAATTAAGGGTCACTATGAACTGCAAAGCATCTACGACTATTTTGAAGGACGATGTAGTATTATTGCATATTAATCGGTATGAATTGTAGGCTAATGTTTAGAGATATTTTGAAATAAAAAAAAAAAAAAAAAAAAAAAAAAAAAAAAAAAAAACCCACAAAATTTTATGTAGTTGCTTCTCATAGATTCATATAATTTAGCATTCATTGGACTGAGATTCATGTTTCATCTCTTATTGAATCTAGTGAGCAATTAATGTACTCCTTCCTCAGTGTTCTTTGGAGTTTGTGGGTTCACTTTATGCTGAAATGAAAATAGGAACCTACTAACAGCATAATAAAAGCATTCAATTGGAAATTTCAGAACATTTCTTAATTTTTTATCATAAGTTTAATCTGACATCATTACAATCACTATCAAGTTTAATCTGATATTATTAAAATCTTTATCAAATTAATCAAACCTAAATAATTGATTCAATTCAAAAAATTTCAAAGAACTAAATTCAACCAAATCAATAATTGATGCAATTAAACATGCAATTCAATGATTAATGCAATTCGAAAATTAACATGTAATTCGATAATTTTAATGAAAATTCTAAATTAACATGTAATTCAATAATTGATGCAATTCCAAAATTTTCAGAGCTGTAAAATAAAAAAAAAAGTTGAACATTAAGATTAACATGCAATTCAAAATTAAAAGTACGAACAAACCTCAATGATTGATGAAATTGTCGACCATTGAAATTGTTTAATGTTTAACAAGAATAGGAGAGAGAAATTGTCGACCGATGAAAAATTCTAATTAGTTGACATTGTTGAGCTTTGATGTGCAGAAAGAATAGAGAGATTATTTGTGAGAAAGAAGAGCATAATTAATTAATCGCCATTGATAGTTTTCAAGCTTTGTTTTGCAGACAGAATAGAGGAGAGAAATAAAGCAGAGATTGAAGCTAACGAAATTTGAATATGTCGTAATTGTTAGTTAGGCAGGTTTTGGATTATAATCTCAGCTGTTGGATTTCATCTAATCTCGCAGCTGAGATTTGTCCTCACATAAGGTGTGAGTTGTCACATAAAGGGTGGTTCTCATCGGATCCCGACCCTATATATATATATATATATATATAAAGATTGAAGAGTATCCATTAGGAAAAATACACTTTAATAATCCCAACTATGAGCGATTTACTTTTAATAATCCCAACTATGCTATCAGTTTGCCTCCAATGGTCCCAATGACCGGTAACCTGCTGAAAGAGTTTTTTGTTTTTGGGTTTTAATAGCCACGTGTCAACACGTGATTAGTCCAAAATTAAAAAATAATAATAAAAACATTTAAAAAAAAACAAAAGAAATCCCCAAAATTCCCAGCAACCGTCAAACCATAACCTTGCCGGATCCAGCCGGCCACCTCTCCTTAACCCTCTAAACCGGCCGGCCGACCCCCTTTGACCCACCCTTGACCCCCGAAACCACCTCCCAGCCAACCCTAACCCAAAAACTCGAAATTTCGGCGACGATAAGTCACCGAATCTACCTGGGACTTCGCCGCTACACAGAAGTCGTTGCCAAAGAACACGCCCGCCATCACACCACCTTTGCCGACCAAAAAATCCACAAGCTTCGTCAACAGCGCGTCGTCTCTCTGCTGCTAAGGTGTGACAGGTGGTGGCGGTGATTGCAACCTACATGTGGTTTAAAGGAGGTCAGGGTTGGCTGGGTGGGTGGTTTTAGGGGTCGGGGTGGGTCAAAGGGGGTGTACAAGGTCGGCTGGTCAGTGTCGGTGGTTAAGAGAGGGTGACCGACCGCCGGCGAGGTTAGGGGTGGGGTTAGGGTTTGACAATGGGGAAAGGATGGCTGGGATTTTATTTTTTTTTTTATGTTTTTTTTTTTATTTATTTTTTTTTAATTTTGGATCAATCACGTGTTGACACATGGCATGGTTACCTGTTATAACAGGTCATTGACTTGATGTTGACCGGTTGGGACCATTGGAGGCAAACTAACCCTGTAGTTGAAATTATTAGATAATAAACCTTAGTTGGGATTATTAAAGTGTATTTTTCCATTCATTAATCACTTACTCCTTCCTCTTTTTTTTTTTGGTGGAAGGAGTAGTGGTTAGTTTTTATAAGTTCATATTCCTTTTTTCCATCATAAATTTTATTTTAAGGTTTTTGTTAACAAAGTTGTAACACCCCCAAAATTCGAGGCTTTGTAAAACAAAGAGTAACCTTTTTACCTTTCAAAACCCAACCGTCGAACCTTGTGAGTGTTACTGCTACACTTATTCTCCATAGAAAACAAATGCAAAGCAAAACAAAATACCATTTTATAAACTAAGTGATCTGAGTGGCGGTGAAAAAAAAATAGTCGTTACATCCGAATTGTAAAACATTTTAAAAACATTAATTAAAAGGAAAATAAATAAGTTCGAAATTAAACTAAATTGTCTTAGCTACGTGATTATTCTAACATCTCCTCACACATAACCGAGTACCCTCTTACCAACCTGCAAAATAAATCAGAAACAAGAAAAGAGAGAAAACTCCCAAAATCATATAAACTGAGTAACTCCAACTCCATCCCGTAAAATAAATAATTTTAGTTCAAAAACATTTTATACATAATACAATTACATAGACATTATGATATTAAACCATTACCACATTGTCACATAACACTCTTATTACTTATTATTAAGAAAGGGAAAGAGAACGACAGTAAGTCGGGACTAGTCCCTGTCACCACTTACTTTACAGAGGGTCGCGCGTAACCCTCAAATGGCCATAAATTAAAACAGAATGTCCCTAGTTTGCACACCCCTCACTAATGCCCATTGATTAGGAGGAAGACTAAACAGCAAAATACGTTAATTTAAACCAACTAGTAGCAACCATAACTACTAGTGGGCAACCTATTCTTCACCCTTTCGGGTTTCATTTCCCTTCTTAATTTTAATGTACATTTAATAGATTAAATTTTCCGATCACATTGCACACAAGTATTGCACAAATCAATTTAATCCCAAGCAACAATGTTTCAATTTCAGTATTATTAGAACATAGTCATTCTACATGACATACTAGTTACAACTCGTTTCCCAATAGGCCTTGAAGACCATCAATCACATATAATCAATCATCCAATTCCCAAGATTTTAATTATTAAAAAAAAAAACTCATACGATACCAATTAATCAAATTTTCGAAAATACTTTTACTAGTACACAAATATAAAAAAAAACTAGTATATAATATGATCCCATAATATCATACAATAACACACTCATCACATATAATTACATAAGCCCATAGTTGGCACACAATATTTCAAAAGAATTTCCTAACGGGATTCTAAAGATGATGGACATTGAAAATTACCTTGAGTTGCGCGTAAATCTCAAGGTAAGTAACCTCCAAAACGTTCACCTAGTAGCCTCCATCTACAAATAAACAGATAATAATACTAAGTCAGTATGACTCATATAGCTGATACGAAGTTAGTAGTAGTACACTAGTACGCGGGTAATTAAGCAACTACTTCTATTGTATTGTATTGATACTAAATTTGGAGGAAAAAGAAAAAAAAAATTATTTTATTAGTCAACTATGACTATAAATTTAGAAGTATAGTATGTGAATAAAGAAATGGTCCACTACTCCACTACCACAACTTTTCCCCTCCTAGCCTGCAACTAACCCACGCACAAAACTCCAAAAAAAATTATTTCAAAGGTGTCCACTTTGGCAGAAAAGAAACAACCCATTTTTTTTCTAATTTCAATTACAAGATGTTTAACGAGAGACAAGAAGATTAAAGAAATTGGGTGGGTAAGACAAGAAATCAAGAAAAGGTTCAATCAGCATTTCGAATTTGCCAAGCTCAATTCAATATAGGAGATTCACAGTAAGAAAACTCATGGCTTACTGATGAAAGATCGGTTGGGGATGACGACTTAGGCAAAATTGAAAGGGATGGGTATTATTTGATAGTGTTATACGACATATCAGTTTTGGGATTTAGGTGTATATATAGATTAGAAAACTTAGGTTGAGTTGCTCTAGAATAATCAGAAGATAAGACCCAATTCAAATTGAGTTTGTTGTAACTTCCTATCAAAAGGATCAGCTTCAAAAAAAAAAAAATTCAGTTTCTATAAATTATCCAAATTCAGTTTTTTTTTTAATAAATACAAAAATAAAAATAATTATTATTAAAATTTTTACTATAACATATAAATTTGAAAATAATTATAATTTTAAAAGCTTATTCTAGAAAAATTGTTGATTAAATATACTCAAAAATTTGGGGTATTACAAAAGTAATTATTAATCACTTACTCCTTCCGTCTCTGTCTGTTTGCAAGATAGATAAAATGGGGGTACTTTTGTCTTTTTTTAGAGTATATACAAGTGGAGTTAATGATGAGGATATATTACTATACTCCATATAAAGAAATAGTATAACTTTTAAAGGACATCACAAAACGATAAAATGACGTATGAGGTAGACAAATAAAGATGGAGATAATAAAATCTAATAAGACTATAAATTTAATCAAAACAGTCAAAATTGGGTGTAAAAAATACCATCATAAAGAGTGGACCGCTCAGGTGGATTTAACTAATTCTTATGACTGATTAGATAAAAATAAAATAATTTTCACATTGTGGTTAACCTAATAAATTGACAATAGATCAAAACTAACAATTTGGATTTATTCAAAAAGAATTGTGTTTTATAAAACATAGTTTAAGCTTGATATACCTGTGAGTTAAACAACAAGTGATACCACCTCCATCCTAAGTTTTTTTTTTTTTTTTTTTTTTTTTTAAAGTATCATCCTTAATGTTCTTAACAACTCGTCCGCAGCCCGTAGAATTATTGGCACAAGAATTAGGCCTATTAATTTATTAGTGGCTCGACAAGTGGGTTGGTTACTTGATTGTGTGTAGCTGTCCGCAGGGGGTATGAATTTATAAAAACTAACCATTACTCCTTTCACCAGAAAAAAAGAAAAAATGCAAAGTTTATCTCTTCGGTAATAAGCAAATTTTGTTTATCAAATGGCAAAATTGTCTGATTTTTTCTCTTATTTGCCCAATGTGTAAACCATAACATGAGCTGTAAAAGTAACATAAATCCTTGGTACTTTCATACCACCTATAAACATTGAAATCAATTTTTTTTGACAATTGACATTGTAATCAACTAATCATGCTATGTATTGTCCTATAAACATTGTAACAGTAACATGAGGGTTCAAACTTCAAAGACTTGCTCAAATCAAAGAAGGAATTCTTACAAGACAATTAATTACTTGTTAAGAAGTTGGGCAATTTAAAACATATCAGTAACTAGTTTCAGAAAATATGCAGTTCTCCAAATTCGCCCTATATTAACAGATTCAAGCTTTTAACAGATACTAGTAACTAATTTCAGAAAATATGCACCCTCCAGAAATATCAATTTTGACAGATTCAGACATGAATGACCCTCCTAAACTATTGGTGTGTACGCTACGAAGAACTACTTCAGCATCATTTCATCCTGAAAGTCCTCTTTCTCAACCATATTAAGGCCATCAAACCAAAATGCATCAGGGTCAGATACCACGAGACACAGGATCATCCTTGGCGAGTGCTACAAAGTTCACTGGTATAACTCTTGCGCTATCTCTGCGCTCTTTACTACCCGAGATCCCAAGACGCCCTGAAGGAGTTCCTATCCTACGAGTATTGGGAGTTCCGACCATGGTATTATTATTGGTGCTCTGACCCAAAGGCTTTTTACTAGGCTTTGAACCATAGAGCGCTTCTTTTTCTGTAGCAAGCTGTTCTTGCAACTTTTTCTGCTCCTGCAATAACCAAAGACATTTTCATTAAAAATCCTCCGCTTTCTTGAGTGTATACAAACGTTGCCAATTAGTTAAAGAAAATTGCCTTTTGCTTCAGACATTCTCAGTCACAAACAACTCCTTCGGTCTCATGTTAATCTCTCACTTAACAATGTCAGTCCACAAATTAATCTTAATGTAACCTAAAATTCCCATGCAAAGTTGGGCTTCAGTTTCACTTACTACCTTTTCTCCCCTATATCACATCAACCCTTTTTTTCTCGCAAGTCCTACCCTTTTTCTTCTTACTCTATCCGTATATTATTACAATTGACTTTGTGAGACTGATGCGATAAGTATTGCTCATCTATGCTGAGGCAAATTGATTAGGTTCGACTTAAGTACAATTGTGTAGAGCAGTACACTACATCAGGAAGTGAGAAAAAGGTGACTACATGATAAAACTACATACTAGATCACAGACATACCCGAGTTCTACGTTTCTCCTCTTCCCTCTGCTGACGCTGTAAGGTGTATTCTTCTAATTGATGTAACAACGGTTCCTGATAATTGAAAACAAGAAAAGATGTTATGTACTTCCTCCGTTTTTTTTTACTTGCTACAGTTTGACTTTTACACTATTCACATATCTCACTTTGACTAGTTTTAGTGGTTTATAGGTTAGGAAAAATAATAATCATGTGAAATCTTGTTTTACTCGTCTCGATTTATGCTTTAATAGTATCAAATTTTTATAATTTTTACACATTGGTAATTAAAGATATTAACGATTGAAATAGTGCATTGGCAAGCGTGAAAAGAGAAGTGTAGCAAGTATTAAGAAACAGAGGAAGTATATAATATGAGAAGAGAACTATTAGTAAAAACAATGAGTAAAGGAAGTGGTCAATCACCTTATCATAAAGGAATGTCATTCCTTTCTCTACCTCCCAAGCTTTAACTTTCGTTATTAAACTCTCAACAAGAGCTACATAAAAAGAGTGCAGACTCGTGAAAAACAATTCGAATTCTTTTAAAAGCACAAGATGTTGAATACCATTCCCAGATAAAATTAAATGATTGATAAGATAACAATCAAAAAGGTGTAGAACCAGCAAGATGCCAAGAAAAGAACAGTAAAACTAAGTACTCGAGGATACACCAGATTGCTCATCACTTCATCTGTACAAAACTAGCAGAGAACTGACATTTATTTCTAGTATCACGCAAGGAATTCTAGCAGAGAACAGCACAGCCATTTGATATGTTTAGGTATCATGCAATGAATTCTTGATGGAAGAAGAAATACAATTTAAATGTAAAGTAGTAGTATGCAACAATTACAATGTAGATAGAGCAACACAGCCTGCTAGTTCCCCTTTTATTTAAAATGAGAGGTGCCACAGATAAGATAGTAAGTGCAATTACTTTAATCCATAACTCACAACTACACATACAAGCTAAGTCATCCTATGCATAAACTACAAGATACTCCAAATACATTAATAAGCTACAGAAAAGCAGTTGCAAAATCAAGTCAGATATATTAGTACCCTCAAATTTATTTAGTTTCAGTAAAAACTATATTAGAACTACACAGAACAAATTACAAGTAGAGGACAAGGTGATCTCACAAAATAATCAGAAAAGGTGCAACTACTAATTAGCCCAATTTCTTTAGATTTACCCTAAAAAGTCTCCAACCTCCTTAGCCCATATATAATCAAACAAATTGATTTTACCCCACAACATAATACTCATAATAGCGTTTCCAAGAATAATAGGTTGATCGCACTCTAGCCACACGATCCACAAAATAGCCATCATTGCATTTTGCCAAAGACTAACACTTCTATAGTTAAAACTCCATGTTATGCTAATCATATTATGGTAATTTGAAGACATTTACACATTAGATGGTAAATTGGAGTTATAGATGGTTTCACATTAAGAAGAAACTTTTAAGGAAACAAAAACACATACAACTCCAACATACCAATGTTTTCTCATCTATTATATATTCATTATGATAAAAAGGAAGAGAACAGTAAAAGCAACAATAAGTTTGAAGCATAATGTTTGATAATTAAAGGTAGACCTGGCAAAAAAATTGAAAGAGGAGAGCACAAGGAAATTTTCTCGTCTTACCTCCCCTCTCCGAACACCCCCACGGCCCCACCCCTTTTTTAATAGTTAGCTTTAACATGCAAGCACAAAATGATATAATCAAGAGCAATATGACGCCATCACCTATGTTAATTGGACTTTTAAAGTCTTCATACCGCACCAATAATCAGTGTTAGATACTCAAAACTAAACTCTGACAAGATATCTATACTTAATTATAGATCAAAAAAAGAATCGAAATGGCCATGTTTGATGCAAACATCTGACACTAATTGTGGTGCCTTAAGTATGGATCAGCATATTTCTTTCAACCTTTATAATAATGCAAGTTGTGAATCATGGCAGAAATTTAGCTTGATCCCCCAAAAAGATGAATAAAAACCAAAATATCATGAAACTGTACCAACGTAAACCTTGTAGCTTAGCCCTAAATGGTATAATCAGCAGAAACGTTCAAAAATATAAAAACTGAAGACGCTCACATGGAATTTTGCCGACTAGAGTCCTTGCCTTTTCTGCCCTTTTCAAATTTTTATGTCCTCCTCTACCAGCACAGTATCTATTATCATCCTGAAGAGACGATAGAGTATATAAGGAATATAGAAACATGAAACAGGATACATTTTTTTGATGTATGTATACAAGTACCGAGAAGTGCCACTTATCAGAGGCTCACATTACAGCTATCATAAATTATACCAAGATGTTGTCATCATTCCATCATTGAACATGTTAAGACACAAGTACAGGTGTGTAGCTACAAGTTTTATAGATTATTTGGAATTGAGAAGATAATAAAAGTATTAGATTGATTTGTTGATTCATCAGTACATTTGAGAAATATGTAGAATCCACAACTGCAACCATTGTGATAAGTAATACTTGGAGTACCACTTAGCAACTAGAACTTAACTTGGGCAGTTATGTACAATCTAAAACAAATTCCCAACTTCATTACCTTTTCATATCCATCTAGCCAGATTTCTTCCTCTGAAGCATGCTTCCACTTCTCAACTCTATCTAGTATATCCTTTCTGCTCTGAGCTTCTTCTTTAGCTTGTCTTATTTGATCATCCATACGAAAGAGCATCTCAGACATATCTACTTTGCCTGTGAAGCCATGAGGAGATAACAATTACTAGAAACATAGCACGAATGAAGAAATACTATGAAAGCAGTAGAGCCCACGACTCCTGAAAGATGCTCTACGACAAGATTGGAAAAACAATATGACTGAAATCCAAAATAAATAAATAATGATAACTTTAAATTAAATTTCACAATATCACTGGAGTACGATAATTTAGGATATCATTTCTCGATGGAGGCAATGGTCAATTAGCGCTTCTGCGGGTTTTTTTTCACATTAAAAAGGACTTAAGTCCATGGTTGAAATACAGGTATTATAGCCTGAAATTTAGTGGAATCTTCCAATCTAGAACGAGAGTTAAAAAAAAAAAAAAAAAAAAAAAAAAAAAAAAAAACACAAACCAGAATCTATGAGATTGGTCAGCATTTTCCTTGCTGCATCACTGTCTACATCCACATGAACCCCTCTATATATTTCTTCTAATTCAGTTTGCCTCTTCAACACTAGCTCTCTCATCTTGCTGGCTTTAAGAGTATTCAACTGCTCAACTTCAATTTCAGTCTAACAGGGGAAAAAAAATGTCAGGCTCCTAGGATAAATATAGATGCGACTAATAGGTTAGAACCGTAAGTTTTGCAAATTAAAACACATTGAGAGAGCAGAATAATACCCGCTCAATGACATCCAGTGAAAGTGAGCCAGATCTGGAAACCTCGTCAACAGACGAAGAAATTAAGGATGTGAGATTCTCAAACTTTTTCTGCTCGATAGTTGGGGTGTCCAAGAGACTCCACAACTCCATAAGAGCACTACCCAAATCTTGAATCTGTCAAACATGTTTTAACTTTATTACATATTTGTCCAGTAGTTCATAACAAGTGGTAGTGTCAACTTGGTTATGTTCACAACAGAATTGATTAAGGCAAAAATATAAATAATGAAATGAAAGCATTTCATTCATTCCTATGAGATCAACGTATGAAAGTATAATCTAGGCATCTACCTATGAAGTCATGAACAAAGAAATTATGTAAACAGAAAATTGATCAGTATAGAAGAAGAAATACTGCAGTTTAGCATATTCAAGAAGATGAAATACTGCACTTTTCCTTTATTCAGCATCCATTCAACCCGAAACACAGTTATATAAGCTACAGAGACAATCACTAGAATATTTCAGAACTCGCCACAGGTACAATTTGAATTCCATTAAATTCTTCAGCTGAACAGCACCATGATCCCAAAGGAATAACAGAAAAGTCAGACATCAATACATGATCCTGTAGAAATGATTCAGTGGGGAAAAAAGTCTTATAGCTAAACAGTGACTCTTCAGCATGTCAGACTTTTTTACTGTCCAGGCAAAAGGTTGACTTTGGAAATACTAATGTTAGGTCACAAACAAATCAATATTCTTATTTACATCAGGAACTGTCAAGAATTAAGGGAATTAGAACGCCTATGGATACAAGAAAGATGTGTAATAAATATATACCTTTTGCAACCGTCGCTGCTTTTCTTGCTTTAAAGAATTCACAACACCAGTCAGCTTAGCAAGAGTATCATTACTTATGCTCTTCAAGTGGCCATATCCATGATCAACCAAAGAAGGGTGGACCTCATCTACCGTTGATCTAAAGTCAAGAGACATTACGACTGATAGCTCATGAATAGCACTTATGTGACTATTAACTTTCTGCAAACGGAGAGCCTACAATGGAGAGACATATCTATGCATTAAAGCAAATTTTTTTCAAAGCAGCGATTATAGATGTTGAAGATACTAGATAGAAAACCTTCTCATTCTGAAGCTCTTCAAGATGTGATTTACGTTCAGCCAGCCTTTGTACTGTTAAGTCTTGTTCATCCACTTGAGGTTCAGCATTATTTATAAACTGATCATTCCCAGCTATCTCAGCACAAATGCGGATTATCTGGGACTCGATGTCAGAGAATTCTTTTACTCTTTGCAGTTTCTTTAATCTCAAATCGTCTAAGTTAGGTTTTACAGAAGATAGCTGCTCTCTGAGAGTGCCCTTTGCCTTTAGAATAAAAAATAAAGGAATTAAAGTTTGTAAAAAAACAAAATGAAATAATATTGCTGAGACTGAATGCCATTAAAAGAGAAGCAAACCCGCGTAAAAGAGGCCCTCTCTCCCAGTGTTGACATTAGTCTAGCAATTTCAGCTTCACCCTCAGCGAGTGTTTGATAAAGATCAGATTTGTACTTCCTTGTATTCTCCACCTTCCTTCGGTAAATGTCAAGGCATTCTTGCTCAAGTTCTAAAAGCATCCTGTCTCTTTCACTATCATTCTCCCCAATTTCATCCCATATTTTCTAAATGAAGAAACATAAAAATTATAAATAAAAGAAAAACAGAAAACCTTGAAATTAAAATTTTAAATGAAATCACTCAAATGTAAGACTTTAGGAGATAAAATAAATTCTTCTAATTCTAAGAGTACCAGACTGCACTACTCACTCTTTAGCAGTTAGACCCAATTGTAATAATTCAGACATTTTCTTCTTTAAGACATTCATGTAACAGAAGGGATCTCGATTAAAGACTTAAAATCAATAGGAGATAACTAACCCGGCTAAGAGTGAAAAGCCACTAAAACATCTATGAACAACTACTTTAACTATTCAACACACATGAAAAAAAAAAAAAAAAAAGTTGACACAACACAAGATGATGACACAAACCGGACTAAAGAGAATTAACAGGTTCAGTCCCTAAAGCAGTAAATTTGGTATAATTTTATCATTCAGGTTAACTACATTATGTTGGGGTTTCGCACCTGAAAATGATAATTGATACGTGCTTCTCCATTAATTTCTCAAAGAGGGTTTACTATATAAATCTATTCTTGCAATTGTATCATGGTATCATCCCCCATCCAAATAAAATTTGCGATAACCACCACCATCACCACCACAACTATGACTGCTGGTTTTATGACGAGAACCGTGACTGTCCACCACCACTCACGATCACAAAAAGACCAAGAATTTGAATAATTTTTACAAATATACATACGGCATTTGCACCAATTTAAGCAATCCCTCAAATTACAATAATATTAGTATCAAAATCACCCCGTTTCGCCTAGTTTGTTCACTCTACGGCTTAAAAAACAGGCATTAACAATAATAATCACCAAAATTCCACAATATCATACTAAATCCAAAAGTTCATCACAAAAGAAATGCAAAACAGCCAAAATTAAGCAATTCAGAAAACCCAAAATACACTCACTAAAATCACTAAAAATAAGTACAAAAATCAAGAAAACAAAATTTAAAAAAAAAAAAAAAAAAAAAAAAAAAAAAAAGGGCAAGAAAACCTGCAGTTCTTGGAGTAGAGTACCACAAGTAGTCTGAGACTGAGAAGAAGCCGCTCTCATATCGTATGATTAAAGTGAAGAGAATCAATGGTGAAACCCCCAATAATTTTACACAAAACCCTAGAAATTGGGAAATTTTTGAGGAGAGAGAAAACCAAAAAAAAATTGAAACAAGCGTTGCAAAGTAGAATTTCAGAGAGTTTGATTTTGAAGGATTTGATGATTTTTGTAATAAAAATGGGAATTTTGTTTGATTTTTAGGGATTTGTTTGATTTTATTTTGTGTAAGAAAGGGGAAAAAAGGAAGGTTTAGTTGTTTGGCGCGAATTTGTAATGAATGTGAAGTGTTTTTAAAAAAATTTAAAATTTTATTTGGAGTATCATTGCATTACGGATACGGAGTACTTTTTGTGCTACGGCATTTACTTTCAGTCCTGTTTTTTACAAAGAAGACGGAACCAAAGTGGAAAATGAAAGAAAATAATACTAGTACATTAATACTCGTACGGTTATTAATATACGGGAATATTTGGACTCCGGTTTTTAATGAAAGGAAATGTTTTATACTCCGTATTGGGATTGAAACTGACCAGACTTGAATCAACTTCTTAAGATATAAATAGGGGTTGGCAACTTAAACTTACAATTTAATCTACACAAACCTTAATCTTCAATAGGCCAACACTTCATTGGTAATTATCTTTGTTTATTGATATTTCATTCGTCTTTTTAAGTGATTCAATTTTGACTTTTTGCACTATTCACTTATTCTATATCTCACTTTGACCAATGTCGGTGATTCATACATACTTGTGCAAATATGGTTAAAGCATGATAATGTGGCTTTAAGCTATGGTTAAGTTAACAAGAGGAGGCTCTAATAGACAAAATTCAACCATAATACTAACTATCTATCAGTCTACCATATACTAAACAAAAATGAAAAGAGACTGATTGGCTACTGGCTAGGCTTAACAATTCTGGTGAAGTTCATCAGATTATGAATTCTTAAATATAACTAGCATTAGCCATCCAGGAGTTAGTTAGCTGAGCAAACAATGATATTCAGATCCCATTATACTGTCAGTTTGTCAATCAGGCACACTTATTCTTCAGCAAAATGTATACACATTCTTGTGATCCAAGTCAGTCCCTCAAATAATTCATCAAAAGATTGATCAAATTAATCACCGGCCAAAATAATGGCTTGTGATTAGAATGGAACTCAGGGGATAACAAGATCTAAGTCTGGAAATATCTAATTGCAAACACTGTCCACTAAATGAACAAGATTTCAGAATTAGCACACGCTAGTTTCAACAGCAGATTCTATAAAATTCAACCTCCACGGAAACAAGTCTAACTACATTCCAAAGACATGATAGAGGGAATAGGGAAAGATAAGCCCTTGAGAGATATTCTAATCCATCCTGCCCTTCAAGATGTGCTCCTTGATCTCTGTTGGAGTACTGCACAAGCAAAGGCAAAAGACAATACAAAAAGCACTGTTAGGTTTGCCAAATAAAACTGAAAAAGGGATAAAAAAAAAAAAATCTAAAAATTAAAATTTAAAATTTAAAATAAATAAATAAATAAAATAAAATAAAATTAAAAAATAAAAAATAAAAGTAAAGGGTGGGGATCTAGAAAATACAAAGAATCATTTTAATTTGAATTTCCTCTTTGGGATGACTAATAATAAGAGTTTGCTTTCTCACCAAAGAAGAGGCTATAACCCAAGAAGAGACCACAATCATATTACATCATAGGACCACAACATACACTCGGTTATTAAGCTAAAGCTGACTCTAGACATAGAATCAAAGATAGGTATGGTCAAGACCTTAATTACCAATGTAGCCTTTCTTTAAAAATTTATGTTATCACAAGGGTAATAAAGCAAATTGGGTATCACAAGGATAATAAAGGAAATTTGTAATTACAATAAAGTCTACATGTATAATTTAAGATTTGGCCAACTAATACAAAAACTAAAATAGAAATATGGTCTATTATTAAGGAAAGATATTGTATCTTCAATTACTATCATACCTACTTGTTTCTATGATATGCGAGTATAGCAACAAAAGTGAAACAATGTTCTACTTGCTGATAGAGATAAATTATTATGGACTTGACCCCAATTAGCTCTTATCACAGACATGAACCTTGATAGAAAACTAAAACAGCCCAAGACTCATGTGCCCTACCCAAGATAGGGGTTTAAGATCCTCTCTTGTCCTGATTCAGTCTAGGTTTGGAAAGAAGGAGCCCCTACTTGTACATACCCATACCCTATTGTCTTCGTTTACTCTATCCGCTCCTTAATCATAGTCCCTGCAGTCTTTTTTCAAGACACTACTGCATCCTCCACCCCTCCAACCCCCCCCCCCCCCTTTTCAAATCTTTTTTTGTTATTCAAACACTTGCCTACACGGGTACACTACTACTTCAACCACTCTCCCACTGTTGTTATATTACTTCATCAGGACCTGCAGCAGCTGATTACAGGTAACGATAAAAAATCTCCAGACCCACTTGCAGAATAAAATTGCTAATCTCTTTGTGGCACAGCAGGCCCCAAGCAGATAGGGCAAGGCTAGAAATCCAACGCGGGCAAGAGGGTAAAAAATTACAACCATGAAGCTAGCTTTCAAATGGAGACAAAAAAAGAAAGGACAATCATTTTGGGAAAAAGTTATTGGGCTATGTTACATCAACATTTAATTTTGTGTTATGTACCTATGTCAAACATTTGACACTCCAACAATTGAGCCCGATAATTCAATTTATACTCGGACATCAATTATCTTGAACCACATACTTGTAAAATATAAATGGAAAAGAGAAAAGAAAGTAAGCAATACAAGCTTACAAATAAACTAGAAATCAATAAAATAACAAGAGCATGAACCTCAAAATGTGTATATATGTACTAAAACAATAGAAGCTCATACAAAAATTCTTTAAAATCGAGATTGTTTTTTTAAAAAAAAAATTTAAATCGTTGTCCCCATATCCAAGGTGGAGGGACAGATTTTTTTTTGTCAAAAAAAAAAGGAGGGACAGTACTCCTGCTAACCAATGCCAAGATCCCCTGACACAAGCTAAAACCCACAACCTAACACAACTAAATGAAGTCTACAGGGATCTAGTGCTCTATATAATTGGAAAGCACTGGAAGAAACCATCCAAGCGGCACATAAGATGAGTATTATGCAGTATTATCAAAAAATTGTCCAATAAAGAAAACAGGGTACAATAGATTCCACTTACACAATATAGACATGCCCTCCCCAACCACTCAAACAGTCCCGGTCAACTGATGCCTGTAAAGCCTGGGAGACTGTCTCGAACAATTCTTCAGGTTCCTGAATCACAGGAACAAGATTAATGATGCTGACAGAAATTCAGCCAATGTGAAACATTCAATGCTGTAAGCTAAAACTCCAAATCACTAGCAAAGGCTGAATAGATTTTGAATTTTTTCTGAATCAGTTTGAGTTGCATTTTTACACATATATCTCCTAATGAAGGCAAAATGAGGGAGTATAAAACCTTATTAATGCTTTACTAATACATCATCCTAAATGGGATATATGGGATATAGGTTAGCAGGAAACATAACACCACTAATCAGAAGAAAAATACTTTACACCATCAAGATCAAGTAAAAATTCAGATACATGAAAACTTAGATAAATGCAGGTACTGACACCTTTTTAAACACTTGACAGTTAGATACAAGATAAAGTTACTATTCCACAAGAAAACCAATATATAACCAGGTCTATATTCAACCATATAAGATAAAACAGACAGCTGCAAACAGATTTAGGATCAACATTTTTGAAAAGCCAAAGTCCAGGTTCATAATAAATCTTTAGGCAGAAATTCAAATTTGCTAGGAAATTCCAATCCTCCGTGGATTGTTGACCCATAGTCATGTGTGAAACCAAAATAAAGAACCATAGATTCAATAGCTCAACTTAGAATCATACAAACAAACAGAGATGGTAAAATAGCAAAAACCAAAAATTCATCAGATGTCAATGTGTCACAATAAGTACTCAAAGAAGATTTAAAATGCAAGGAAAATGACTTACCAAGTCAGGCTTGTACATAGATTCACAAGCACCATACAGAGATTCTGATGCAGTTCCAGCAACAACAAAATCTTTAGCTAGCTCCCTGTAAATCGTAAAAAAAAAGAATTTAAAAATACAAAATATAGAATAAAAAAAATTTAAAAAAAATGAAACAAGACTTCAATTTTGCAGTGATTGGTAATGCAGCAGTTGTGAAATGACAGAGATAACATTGCATTTACTACAATGATCCATCTTATAATTATTTTCTGATAAAAAAAATCTCTTCATTATAGGTTTAATGGTGTTAAAGGCTTATTTTCTAAACTAACAAAGAAAATCACAACTATCACACTGTAAAGACCTCACAAAAAATCAACCACCCCATCAAGTTTAAAGGTGCTCTAGGCCTCTAGCAGCCAGTGAATACAATGCTTTTCTCAAATATGGTACAATAGATTGCAAGATTTAGATTTTTTTCAAGTCCCGTTAGCATGAAAGAAGAGAAAAAGACATAAATTCCAACTTCATAGAGAATGAACACGCTTTCTTCTATATCTCTGATAAATTTAATGGTCACATGTCAGTTACTCAGTTTTAGGTACGCAGTTTGATTCAGACAAACAAATCCCAATTTCCAATATGAATCAAACAAGTACCATATAATGCTGAAGATTCTCTCCACCACCACTAGATATGAATTTCAAACCAAAGAAGATTCTAGCCAATGTATAAAAAAGCTCAAGGCGCACCAAGGCGTCTCAGAGTTCCACACCTTAGTTGAAGTGAGGCGCATATTATAAACAATTAAAAAAAAAAAAAAAAAAAAAAAAAAAGTTGATGTGCCTTATCAGCGCCTCATTAAAATCGCTTTACCTAGACCACAAAAGGCGCACGACCCCTCACGCCTTAGAGCCTAGGCATGCTTTTTCAAGTACTGGTTCTAGCAGAAGTAACATATTCATCTTCTTTAATCATGGGAATATGAAGAATACAACCATGATGCCTCAAGCAAATAAGACATCATCAAAAGGAATTTAACTTTTCTAATCTTTTTTTTTCCCCCATTTTTTTTAGAGATATTAGTTATTATAAGGAGTTTCAACAGCCACATAGTCGCAAGGCCTTAATATTGATGTTCATATAACCTTTAAAATTTTAAATTACTGATATCGCAAACGAGTATTAATTCCAAAGAATACAAAGTGGTAACAGAGAAGAGAGCATACTTGGCTCCAATCGAATCCATTGTGCAAATGAAAGGCTTGTTATCGTCACCTAATCCAGCAATCACTGGCTGGCAGAAGTATGGGCCAAACCTAGAGAAAAAAACAGAACTCACATTCAGTTTTCTTAAAAATAGCAACCAATAAGGCGACAGCAAAATATTGGTACAACAATAGATATGGAATTCAACAACACAGGATTCAAAGATATCTGTATGAACACCATTTCTCAACTATGAAGTTTTAATTACTAATTATTGATAGCTTAAAGAAAATTAGCACAGCACATAAGGGATTTATGAGATTGCGCACTGTATGACTAAAATTACAAATTAGGCTTCTGAGCTATGTCTGGAGTACCAGATACTTGATGGCGAAAAGGAGTGGCAGAATAGTAAATGGTCAGTCTTTTTTCACTTTATACTCCGTAATATACAGCACGTAATTAGTGTCAGTACAAATCACAATATACTATACAGCATGTAATCAGTATATGTACAAATCAAAAATAATGCTAAATCCCAATCTAACAGCCAGTTCAGTCCATTTTACCCCATCTTAGGTAGTAGCAATAGACCTAAAGTCACAGCATCAAGAACAATACAATATTAGTTTCTTGTTGTCAAGGTGGAAGTTTAAAGGAACAAAGGATCTTCTGTTTCCATATAATTATTAAGATAGGCACTTTTACTCTTCTAAAATTAACCCAATTACATCCATATTTGTCCTCTAATAATACAAAAGGAACAATCAAATATAAATGACTTGAGCAACAAGCGTAGAGTATAAGCTTCTAAAACAATGATCAAGAACATCCCTTTAATTTAAGAATATGAAATGCACACAACAACCCAACGAGGAGCGTTCGGTCCACTTAGCCTATAGGCGATTCCATCCCCAAACTAATTGGTAATAGGAGTTACTCCTCTAATTTATAAAGTGGTTATTTTTCTGAGGACAACAAAGGGGTTTCAACAATATAAGTCTTAATTTTAACCACGGAACATTTCATCAACAACATTATACATTCATACCCCGTCCGTCCAAACTTAATCGTCACATTACTAATTCAGATTATACTACCAACACAACTACTAATTGAAGGTAGCATTAGAGACTTAGAGTAATAAGCAAGGCAAGTATATATATGAAAAACGAATAAACAAATGAAGAAACCAAACCTTTTCTCGTACAAAATTGCAGAGACAAGGTTAGCAAAAGTTTCAGGCTTCATGTCTCTCTCCTCTCTCAGCTGATACAATTTGTGCCGAAACACAAGCCTCTGGTACCTTCAAATTTATTATATCACACTATCAGCTCCATATTTTCTACATTATTCTCAAATTACACATTAATTCCAAAATAAATCACAGATTTCATAATCACACTATCAGCTCCAGATTTTCATCAAAATCCCCCCAAAACAATCGCAAAAAATCACAAACCCAGAAATTTAAATTGAGAAAATTGAAAAAAACCCTTACAGAGTTTGAGCATCGGAGCCAAGACCAGAGAGACCGATGAAGAGACGGTCGTGAATTTGGAAAATACGCTGGAAATCAGTAGCAATTGTTTGAAGCTGAACCCCTAATCTTCGATCACTACCAATTGCGAAGCAATTTTTCCCGACCATTGCCACTAGGGCACTTCCATTGTACTCGAAGATCTGCTCATTTCATCGAAAATCAAATTAAATTACAATTAACAGCAGATTTACGAAATGAAGTTACAAAATTGAAATTAGGGTTCGTCGAAGAGAGAGAAAACTTACAGACATCTGAAGATGAAGGAGGAAATCTGCGAGTGCGAGAGAGAAAGGGCAAAACGAGTGAGTTGAAGAATAGAAGAGAGACAAAGAGGAATCGAGCTTTTTGTATCAGTGTTTTTCTTTTGCAAATTAAAAAAAAAAAAAAAAAAAAAAAAAGACGTAATACTCTGGTTTCTTGAACAATAAGGCATACTCGTTAAGCTAGCATTTTCAAAAGTTAAGCACTTAAGCTTAATTAAAATAAAAAAGGAAAAATTGACAACAATAATCCGACCTTCAATGGGCCTTCACATATGTTTAGTTCACTTTATTTTTGCTTATCAGAATTTATCTGATCTAATCTCATCTGGTCTGATCTGATCTCATCTTATTGTCTAATTTGACCACACTTTGACCTTAAGTGTACGATAATCTGTAAGGAAAAAATATATCAAGTGGGATCTTGCTAGATTTATAATAATGTATAATTTATTATATGTAATTTTTGTAATATTTTTCATTACGAAATTAAAGATATTTAGCGATAAAAAAATTGCACATAAAACGATGATCTGATCTGAACTTATTTTTTCTGATCTGATCTGATCTGAACTTTTTTTTCTGAAATAAGTAAAAATAAGTTTAACTAAACAATGCCTTAGTCTCTCGGTCTCACCTTTTGATTAACTCAATATAAACCCACCTTTTAACATACTTTACTTAGAATGATCCTTTTCATAATATGACCTTCTACAAGAGTTTACTTATTTGACGTGGCACAAATTTTTTTTTATTTTTTTATTATTTTTTTTTTAGAAAAGTCAACTAAGTCTTACCCACCCAATTTACTGAAACCCCCCAGGTCCGAAACTATCCAACAATCCGCAAGTTTCCTCTTTCACCCTCCGTTCCCCAACTCAATCATACATCCATGGATGCCATACTAAGGTTTGTGTTGTCCCTTTTATGGAAGCTAGCCATTCTGCAAGTCGCTTCACTATTGGGAAATTTGGGAAAATAAGATTGTCCCTTTTGAATCGCAATTTCTATCTTACTCCCGAAGTACCGTGAGCATGGTACTCCGGGGTCAAAATGACGTCGTTTTTAGCTTGGGCAATACGTATACAGTCAGCCTCTTCCTCCATTATCCCCTCCTTCTTCCCGATTTTCTCCCTTTTCTTCCTGATATACTTTGTTTCCCTCTATTTTCTTTCAATCTCCATGAATTTAATCCTCTTTTTTCCAAATTGCAAAATTTTCGTTCTGATTTTTCTCTAAATCCAATCAAACACTTCTCCTTTCGTCAATTACTTTTCTAAATTGAAGATGATTTTGCGCAATTTGCTGGGTATTGAGGCCGATGATGCTCGTTGTAGTGGTACAGAATCTGCTTTTTTATTGTTGATTTTGATGCGGAAATCATTGTAGATCAAAATAACATTTAGTTCTAAAATAATATAATCTATTTATAAAATAACAATTATTAGTTCTAAAATAATATAATAAGAAATAACATTTGTTATTTCTAAACTAATATTTCTAGCTATAAAAATAGTATGCTTCTATTTGTAAAATTACATTGATTATTTTTAAAATCATAAAATCTGAAATAACATTGAGTAGTTCAAAAATAATATGTACAATAACAATAAATAACATGTTTAGTAACTTGAATAATATATATCTTTAACAAAGTTAATGGACTTGAACTACTTGCTGCTTTAGTGGAATAATATATAACATGTTTTCGATGGATGCAATTGAAGAATTTTTAACCGTTTCAAATGGTGAAATAGAGAGAGAAAAAAGAAGAGTGATAGTAGTGGAGAGTGAAATGAGGATGGTGAAATGAATTGATCTGATTTTCGTCTGCTTTTTTTTATATATATATAAGGGTATGTTTTGATGTTATTTCGTTTTGTTAATTTGTTATTTCATGAAATAAATTCTAGCGTGCTTTTTTTAAGTTGGGTTTCTAACCCATTTATTAGATTGGGTCTGGAGTACAATACTAGGTAATCCAGGAATACCTAATAATAATTGTTTTTGAATTTTATTTCAATTTATTTTAATTTTTTTTTGGCAAAGGATGTATACTATTGATGTGTGTAATAATCGCAAGTGATGTGAGTTCCTTATTTGGTTGAATTTATGATGATTATTTTGTTTAATTTCTAATTTGCAAATTTTATTTAGAATTTTTTGAGTAATTTTAGAAAAGTTACATGTTGGGTTTTGTCTATAAATAATTATAAATTTTGTGGTTTAATTGAAGATTAGTATAATTGTTGTGTTGTTGTTTGTTAGTTATGTAATTGCTCGTTGTTTCTTATTAGTTTTATACAATGGAGGATGTTGATGTTACCATGGAACTTCTTGCCAACATTTGGCCTTGATTTAATAACACGTAAAACAACTTCGTTATTGTAATAGAAGTTGATAGGTAGTTTTATTCAAAGTTTTGAGCTTGACCCAATTCTGCTTGATTTTTGATTTCATACAACCATGGAAGATAACTTGGATATATTGAGAAAAATTGGAAGGAAAAGAGATGTTAATCCATGTTATAATGTTTCTCTCTATGAAAAGGTAATGAAAAAACAAAGCGGGAAGAAGGTGGGTTATAAGAAGCAAACATATTCCAATGCTCAATGCCACATAAGATGGTAACCTGTTGTAGCAGGTCATATTATAAATGGGACCATTTTAAGAAGAGGGTGTTAAAAGTTGCGATTATATTGAGTCAATTCAAATGTGGGACTAATATGAGAAGGTCTATTAAAGGTGGGATTATTCCCATCAATTTTTCCTAAAAAAAAAAAAAAAAAAGTTGTAATTAGTAAAAATTATGTAAATTAAGATGTTAATTAGTACAATATTTGTTTAGATGTTACTTATTACAACATATTTGATAAAGAAAATTAAGGATTTGGTAAAGAAAATTAAGGGTCCATTTGGTATTGCTGTAGTTTATACCCCCTTCGTTTTTTTAAGTGTCCCACCTCCCAAAAACTATATTAAAAAGCATTCCTAAAACAAAATATATGCCACGTGTCACCTTTTTTAAGCATTATAAACATGACATGTAGCTAAAAATTCTTATAGCAAGACTTAAACTCAAGACCAACAAGTATTTAGTTTTGGAGGTCGGGGATGGGTTAAAGGCGGTGAATCACTAAACATCGCCCGCAAATTACCATATAAAGCCCACAAATATGACTTGGTGTGACCATTATGCCCATTTTCTAAAATTGAAATAATCTCGGTTTAAAAAATGTGGAGCCGTACTGGCTCGCCGGGGGAGACCGGAGGGCAGGCCGGAGATGCGGGGGACGCCGGAGGTACGTCGTCGTCGACGGAAAATGAGGTAAGTCACCGTTAAAATTCACGGTTTACCGTCGGAGTGGCTCCGGCGCCTAGGATGGACGCCCAAACCGTAGCCTAGACGTCCAATCCAGACGCCAGAACCACCAGAGTGGCGTCCAGCCCAGACGCCCAGACCACCAGACTGGCGTCCTGGCCAGGCGCCACTCTACTGGCTGAGGCGGCCCTGGCAGGCGCCAGTCCAGTGGCTGTGGTAGCCCTGGCAGACGCCACCCTTATATATTAATTTTTTTTTTTTTTTAAAAAAATCGAAAATGATTTTTTAAAAAAATTCGAAATGGGTTTTTTTTAAATTAATTTTGAAAATTCGAAATAGGTTTTTTTAAAATTAAGTTTGAAAATTCGAAATGGTATATTTTTAAATTTAGTTTGAAATTCGAATTGGGTTTTTATAAAAATTAAGTTTGATTATACATAATTATGCTTTTTTTTGTGTTAATTCTGTGTAAATATAGAAATTAAATGTATTATCCGTTAAATGTATTTATTGTAATATATAATTGATGCAGGATTATGGTGGAGACGGAAATGATTACAGTGGGATATTTGGACATGATGGTCCATTCGAAGAAGCTCAACAGGCGATTGATTGGGCAAAACAGGTTGCAATTGCAGCTGGATTTTGCTTGGTAGTAGTAACTCATAAATCTCAACGGGATGGTAGAATGGATCGCATTTTGAGATGTGACCGTTATCGCAAAAGAGAAGAAAGAGATTTTCGTACAGCCACTCGGTTTGATACAAAGCGGAAAGGTTGTGGGTGTGAGTTTAGAGTAAAGGTCCGACAACTACGGAGTCGTGACGGTTGGGAAATGATTGGTTACTCTAAATGGGGGTATCACAACCATGAGATGATAGTATATGAAGAGGGTCATCGACAGCTGAGCGGCTTAAGTCCTGCTGCGAAACTAGTTGTGAAAGAAATGAGTGATGCTCAAGTCAAGCCTGCTAAAATATTAGCATCTGTGTTAGAGAAATTTCCAGAAGACCATCCAAAACGAAGACACATCTACAACGTCAGACAGCAACTCAGGTTTGAACGGTCAGAGGGAAGGAACCCTATACAGCAGCTGCTACACCAGGCACAATCACGTGGTTACATGTTCTGGTTTGATTCTGATGAAGATACAGCGGAGGTGACTCATCTTTTCCTTGTGCATCCTGATTGTGCTGATATGATCAAGTCTTGGCCATTTGTGATTTTGATCGACTCAACGTACAAGACAAACAAGTACAAGTTCCCACTGGTTGAGATCATGGGGATGACTCCAACGAACCAGAACTTTCTGATTGGTCATGCAATCATCAAGGATGAGACGGCTCCAAGTTATTATTGGGTGTTGGAGAAGCTGAGAAACTACATCGGGCCTAATGTTCATCCAGCAGCCATCGTTAGCGACTGTGAGGGAGGTCTCTTTGCCCCCATAGCAGAGCTGTTTCCAGAATCGAACCACTTATTGTGCACATGGCACATCAACAACTGCGTGAAAGTGAAAGCCTACAACCTTTTCAACAAGAATTTGGAAATGGCAGAGAGATTGGTGAATGGTAAGTGGCGGAAGATCCTACAGGCTACCACAGAGGAAGCGTATGAGCGAGCATTGGCTAACTTCAGGGATTCGTACCAGTGGTGTCCGACACTGGTGGACTATGTGATGCAGCAATGGGTCCCTCACAGGGAAAAGTTTGTCAAATATTGGACAAACCAGGTACTTCATTTCGGGAACACTACAACATGTAGAGTTGAGAGCGCTCATAGAGCTACCAAGGACTGGATTGATTCATCGACCGCTGCT